AAAATTGTTAATGTTACTATTAATGTTCATTTGTATTGTTGTCATTAATTAAAGGAGTGGTTGTATACTAAGTTAAGATTGATTAATAACTGTTTTTTTATGTGCATTTATCCCTCAGTTGAGAACAAGCTCGAACAACAACAACCTTATAGATGCCGATAAAATAGGCATACTCATAAAATTTCTGTTTAGTAGAAATACAATTTGGTCTCATAATTGATATTGCAATTGTACAAAAACCTTTACTGAAAGTCTTCTGTTCATGATAGTATTTTTAACACATTTCCAATAATTTAAGTAACCCCACTAATCTTGTACTCACTACATTCAAATATGTTTAAAAAAGGTAATCTTCGAAACCGTCAAAATAAGAAATTATTACCTGCCTTTCTATATTATCCATTTCTATAAATGCAGATTATATTTATACACACAGCTAAACAGAGGCTCCTTTATATCCCCTCCAAATTTTATTTATCTCCTCTAAATACTATACGCTAAGGAATTATGAAGTTTTTACCATTTATTAGAAATCAGCGACCCAAACCAGGCAAGTGTCCTACTGCCGGAAAGGAAATTATTCACCAGGTCTGAATCAAAAAAATTTACGACAAAAAATAATAAATTTGCAGATACTTATCTTGGGCAAACTGGTCACCAAATTTATGAAGCTTGTGAGCAACCTTACTGTTTTTAAATCCTACTATGAGCTACCGAAAAAAAAAAAAACATGAAATAAATAAATGTCCACTATCCACATAATGACTCATAAATTACAAACTATCCACAGTATCAATCTGATGTACACATGCAAAACAAAATGGACATAACCTCAATCTCACACAATCAAGAATGAGACAAACGGTGACAGCTGCGCGAGTCTGTGCAAACAGCCGGTGTCATGCGTCATTCGTCTGAAGTTGATGGAGTAACTCCAGGTTAGACATCCAGAGCGAGACACTGCGATCCCCCGAGCAGTTGCTCGCGAGCTAGGAATAGCTCGCCATCGACGGCCGACACAGGCGGCTCAGGGCATCCACTGATGGCACAGCAGTGGCCCTGGTCCTACGATCATATCAGCAGTTTCCACTCTAGATAGATAGATAGATAGGTCGAATTCGGCCGCTGACTGGAGAAGAGGTCTAGCAGCCGGATGCTCTGATCGGTAGTTTTTTCTTGTTCCTCCGATCGACACCAGTCGAATGCTCGAGCAGTACCCTATCAAACGGGCCACAGACCGCGCACGATCTTTCCTTCCTCTTCCTTGTCCTATTGTCGCCTTTCTTACTCACACATACACATGCACTACCGCACGTGTCGGGAGAGCAATCGGTAGCTTAGAGCTTGTCCTGGCTGGGACGCACCAAGCTGGGGTTTGGTGAAAGCTGACGTAGGTGGGCGCCGAATCTCGCCGGAGACGATCACAACCACCTAGCACGATGCACAGCAGTTACGAGACTAATGACCCTGGCAGTTGAATGTATTGAAAGCTGGATTGGATTATGCTTGTCCAAAAATTATAGCTTTTCATTCCAAGGATGCTTCTCCCGAATTTTATCAAGAGAGGTTTGTACAGAAAATGAAATACTGTAAATTTATATTGCATATTAAAGTGCATATTCAAGAATTTTTAGGTCATGAATGCATATTTTAGTAGCATCTTTCAAGATTTTTGTAGAGTATAAAAATCCTCTCCCTAATCATTAACATCGCTTGTGAACAGCGAGTGCATTATAATTCCGACGGCCGGCCGCCCGGGCGGCGTTTCTGACGCCGTTCCAACGGCGATCGAAGGGTCGCGTGCCATAAAATCCTGTCGCCGTCGAGACTCGAACCCTAGAGGTCAGAGTCACCCCTCCCGGTCAGAGTCACTGCAGTGACATTAGTTGATGTCCTGAGCCACTTCAGTCGATTTTACCTTCTCACACTTACTAACCTAAGAAGAGAAAGTATTGTAATCGTAATCGTAGGTGAATTTTTTACCCAAAAGCTCTTATTGCCGGGTTGTGGTAACGAAAAATTGTATAAATCCAGTTGCTAAATATAGAAAACAAATCCCTCTAACAGGTGGCGTAGCCAGAATCCATGTTTTGTTTATTTACACCGAAAAATCGACTGACGGCAAAACGTGTGTCTGCCCGTCCGTCTGCTCACAACGCTAGCGCATAGCGCTAGGTTCAGCCGATGTTCTCGAAAATTAATATTCCTAAATCCTTTTGGCTGTTATCGCGGCTTCTGGAATATGAAAGTGATATTTTAATTTTGGATGGTACTTTACATGAAACCCCCCGGACATTTGCAAAATTTTCAAAAAAATGGCACAAAATGTTTTGATAAAAATTTGTTGTTTAATATTGCGAAGGACGTTTAAGAGAATGATGCAGGTTTAATTTTCTATAAAACCCCCTATTTTTTGAAAATAGCAAAATAAATTAATTAATTAATCAATTAAAACAATACAAAATTAAAGTTGGAGTTTTATGCCTCAGACAAAGTGTGATGTACAAAATTCCTTCTTTAAAAAAAGTCATGTACAATTTTTTTGAAAAAAAAAAATAGTTTTTGCGTATTTTGCGCTTGAAATTGTCGTAATTTTCCCCTAAAAAAGCGCTCCAAATGTTTTCTTTAAATTTTCTCAAAAATGTAATAAGGGACGGAAAAATATGGTGCTAGTACCATTTACGGGTATTTATCGTTTTTTCAAAAATTTCAAAAATGATTCAAAACAACAAAATTGAAGATAGATCATTTTGCCTGTTTGAAATTAATGAATGATAAATGGGTGTCCTGTAGTACATAATGATACCATTGTTATATTGCGAGAAAGCTGTTTTTGCACCACTATCTTTATTAGGCCATACTGATAATAACCCCAACGCTTCGACCAGGAGGGCTAGATGTGTTGTCAGCTCTTTCCCCATCACTACTACGGATTTCCCCAAATAATTACTCCAATGAAACAAATTTCCCCAATTTAAAACGAAAAATATTCTCTAAATTATGAACCACCGATGTGAGCTGTCCCAGACACTTCCATTGGCTCTCCCCTAAAATTTAAATGATTCAAATCAACCAATCATCGTCCTTAGACCTGCTCGAAACCCTACATCTTCGTTTTTGTAATGTTTAACTTTCTCTATGCTGTCGCTTATTTTTCTCTTTTTGGTGCATAAAAGAAAGAGAGAATAAAGTCTATTTTTTCTTTTTCATTCATAAGAGATTAAAATTATTCCCCCTCCCAAATCTTTTAAACATTTTACCATTCCATTTATATTCCTTATTCTTTTCCCACAATGAAAAAACTATCCCCATTTTAGGACAAAATTCCCGAATCTGGCAACCCTGGCTTCGACTCATGTTTAGTTCAAACTTCTGGATGTTATGGAAGAGAAATCGTCGAGCAACTGCTGAGCAGGAACGAAGCGTTTCTCAGCTAAAAGGAACAAGGAAACAACAATAAGTAGCATTTCTTCATCCAATTAAAGAGAAGACAAAAGTGTGTTTTTCCTACCTGAAATAGCTCACCTGAATACAGAGTTTTCTCTTTTAGAACTCCTTTACAACTTCTCTCTAATTTTGCAGCTAATCATAAGCTGCAAAAGTCAGTCATAGGAGTCGGTGTGCACTAAAAGCGAGGGTTTCATTACTTTAATTCTGTAGGGGCTTGCGGCAGCAAAAGTGCTGCCGAACAAAACCACACAAAATGGCTTTCCAAAATGTAGCACGCACACTATTCAAGAGCAACAAATAAAACACTGCAAATAAATTAAATATTTTAACAAAAAATCGGAAGACCACCTCTAAGATGGCTGGATGGTGTTGAGGAAGACCTGAAACGCATAGAAGAGAAAAAGTGCGGGAGGAAGGCACGGGAAAGAGATACATGGAACTAAATCCTAAAGGAGGCGCAAGCTCACTTACGGACTCTTGCGCCCTAAGAAGAAGAAAAGCTAAAATCAGTCTTCACGAATTCTCTAAAAACGTAGTATGGTATATACACAGTGTACCATATATACACAGTTCTTTATACATCAAGAATATAAAAAAATCTACAACGCAACACATCTATAGAAAATATTTAATGGCGAGGGGCCTCTTCCGTTGAAAACTTTATCGTTGCAACTTTATCGTTGCAAACTGAAACTTTATCGTTGCATGCCGTAAGCTGTTGCACACTGAGCATGAGTATTCAGTCCATACGCGCAGTATGAGAACAGGCGGTGAGAGAAAGAGAGAGAGAGAGATGGGGGGGGGAGAGGTAGAAGGGAGGATAGCGAAAGAGAGGGAGTGAGAGGAGGATGAGGGAGAGAGAGGGAATAGTGGGGGAGAGGAAGAGAAGGGAGGAAGGCGATAGACATGGGGAAAGGAAGATGGAGAGACAGAGGGAGAGGAGAGAGAGAGTGGGAGGGAGGGCCACAATACTTGCATTGCTGAATTGCAGTCTAATACAAATACGCCAAATTTCTCTTTAATTTAATGAGTGGAAAAGTTTTTACCCAAACTACAAATGTTCAATGACTTGAAAATTGTTTCAAATGTATCCATTGGACGATTGCTGCGTAACACATGAAAATTATATTTTCAGCTCTTTTTTTCATGAGAATTCAATTGTCCTTTGCATTCCAAGATGTAAGGCTTTTGAATGTTTAAAATGGAATAATATTCACAATATTACTGAAAATAATAAGTTCGATGATCTTCGAATTCCATCGTAAAAGTGAGTAAGAAAGTGGAAATAAAATTTCATGAAAATTATCATTAATTTAAATAATTTTGAAATAATTAAATTTACTATTTTAATAGTAGATTTTTCATGTGAAATCGAAGATTTTATTATGAATAAACTTTTTGAGCAATAAACTTCTATTTTCACAAAATAATAACTTAATTCTCTTCACCGACATACGATGTTGGTTGAATGTAATTTGAATTGTACGCGGCAAATTCGCGGATCTATGCCAATTGAATTAGTATAATAAATCGTCGACAGATGGCAGTAGAGTACGGTTGGGCAAGCACCATCAGTTGAGTAACACGTATACACCATTACACCATGGCTGACCATGGCCAGGGTCACTGAGCGTCCGATAGAGGCAGCCACATGTCTGCCGCAGGCTGTTCGGCTCTTCGGGTCTGTCAGTCAGCTAATGGGGAAGGTTACGGTTGGTTAAGGACGTGATGCACAAAGGTAGAGGCCGAGTGGACTGCGCTCGCTCGCAGTTGCCCGTAGGTCGCCCGCTAGTTTCCCGCACCGTAGTTCAACACGTATAAGGTCGCTTGCCGTGGTGGCCGGGGGAGTGTGGCCTCAACATCGAAATTGTGCGTTTGAAAACCGTCGATGTACTGTGGACAGACGCAACCGGTGCAGCTGAAGAAGCAAGAAAGTTTGCACTAGGCTAGGATTTGAATTGCGTCTTCTTTTTCGAAAAGGTACGTTAATAATATCGAGGTTACTTCGTGTCAAATTTCATTGTGTTTGTCAGAGGTGATCATTATCACTTGTCTGTTCATCCCAAGATCATTGGAAAATTGCGTTGCTTCTGTGAGTAAACCTATAGGAAAAATCAATTAAAATATTTAATGACTGATTTTTCTGCGGTAAGTTTAAATTCTAAGAAGAGAAACGTAAAATTTCTGTCAGTTTTGAAATTATTTGCTGTACGCCACAAGATGCGCTTATTGTTGTGCCTAACCTTTGATCTTGTTGGGACTGTACTGCCTTTAATAATATAATGTAATTGATTGACCAGTCTTCGGAATGAAATGAGAGACTTACCTCTATTGTTCTCTGGTAATCAATTCCCAATGCTTACTAAATACTTGAGGAGAGTAAGAGAAGTTGGGAGTAAAGCATTGTAAACTCCTAAGTCTGTATGTTTTTACAGGTCATTGCTGTCATCATCAATATCAAATATGCTGTGGTTTCCTAAAAGGAGATTAATGAAAAGGTAGAAATATTTTCTGTAATATTTATAGTCTAGAAATGCTTCTTTTGTGTGAATGACTTGTTGCCAGTCCTTTTCATTATTGAGTAATCTTGTGTTGAAGAAAATTCCAATTCTGTGTGCGGATCATTTACGAGTTGAGTCAAATGTTAGTAGAGAAACGTTTTTCTTCTTTAATTGTTCTGAGTGATCTGTCAAGATCTGTTTCTTCCTTTGTGCCAAGTTTTGCCACCCCTGACTGCGATTAACTCATTCAGTCTTCCCACATGGATTCATTCACTGTTACTGTGGCCTTGTGTGTGAAAGTGGTATCTTATGAAGCATGGGGTAATTTACTACTTATTACGATTTTGCCAGTGGATAGCTTGTTCTTTTGTTCCTTGTGTTTGAAACACATGCATGAGTTTGTGGATCAGAACCATTGGTGTGAGTATTTCATTTTATTGAAGTTATAGTTTCTGGCTACTTTAATAATGACATTTTAGATCATTTTTGAATGGTTGTGTGAAAAGTACTTAAGAAAAACTTGTTTCAAAATTTGAAAGGATAAGTATTTTTATTTAATTTTAGAAAAGGAAAAATTAGAATCCATTATATTTTAAAATTATAAACTGTAGTTTTTGTTTTAGGATTCAAGTATCATTTTTGTATGCGAGTATTTGTGCTTTTGGACTAATGCTAGAGAAGGAATTATTAATACACGAATATCTATTAATATGATATATGATATTTTTTATGAATTTGTCTTGTTTATAATGTATTGTTTAATTTATTGTGGACTTTTATTTTCAGTTGTTGTTTTTTGAAGTTATTGTTTTCTTTATGTAATTAATTTTTTGTAAGAGCTTTTATTATTATTATTATTTATATCTTTTTTACTTCATTATTTCCATGATGTAGGTTGAGCTTGGATTGTTAGTTTTACAATCTCTTCATGATGTTCTTGCCTTGATAGGTAATTATTAAAATATGATCCCAAGGGCAACAAAAAAATATTTTTCTTGATTTTTAATTCACTATGGTACAAATACTCAGAATATATTCTTTTGACATGAACAATGGTCTTAGTTCATTATATTGCTAGAATTAATTTATGATGAACTGCAAAATCAAAAGAAAGGAATTGTGTGATCAAGAAGGTAGGGCAGTGTCATCTTTTTCCTTTATGTTGGAATGGATTTCATTGTTAGTGTTGGGGGCTGAGTTTGCAAAAGAAATGCATTTATGTACTGGTTCAGGTTTACCCAATATTATGATTTTTCAAATGGTATGTGGCATTACTATATATAATTAATGTGTGGAATCCTTTTTTAGTCATGAGAACGGCCCTTGCATATTCTCAGACACTCTTTTATCTGTTGTTTCAGGTATCATGTTGCATTTTAACTAACGTCGACCTTTGTGTTCTAACTGCATGCCTTGTTAGGCCACTTTCTAGTCTGGTTTCTGGTTTAAGTCTATAACTGAGTTGTAGTCTTGAATTAAAACAGAGGCCATGTCTGCAATTAAGTACATCCTCCTGCTGGTCATTATCCCAATGTCCCTGTGGTATTGGGGAGAGTAAGTATTTAATGGGTTGGAGAGAATCCACCACTTGAATTTTTCAGTATCAATAAGTTGCTTGAAATAAGTTTTTTGGCACATAATTGGTCTCAGTTATGAGGATTTCACACTTCACGTGAGAACATTGAGTTGCTATTATTGGAATATGTCAAACTCCAGTTTCTACTTTAATGCATCTCTTTTGGGAAACTTTTTATGGGTGAGAGAAAATCTTGCACACTTTTTGTGTACTGCTCCTGTTGGCTTTGAAACTGTGTATTTTGATGTTATGAATGGGTGTTGAAACATTCTGTTTAATTTTTTATTGAGTTCTGGACTTAAATAGGAATAGAGAATGAGTAGGAAGTCCCTTTTTTGTTAGTCTGTAGTAATCAGTCATTTAAGCTTCAATTGTTAGCTAGTATGCACTGATGTAGTGATTTAGTAGTTGTCACTTCATGTCATGAGACTTTTGCTGTAAAATTGAATGAACTTAGTAGAGTTTAGAGTATGCCAGTGTTAATTTATATATGATATTACAACAAAAGTTATTTTTTCTTTGCAGAATCTTCATTTTGTCGATGAGACTCTCTCTTGGAGTTGTTTTTGTCATATTTATACTCGTCCCTCTAATATTTAAATACACATACAGCTTGCAAAGAAGTATGGTATTCCTTAATTTTGGTGAGTGATTATTTTTCGTGATATTTGTTCATAAAATTATTTGTACATTTATTTTCATTTGTAAATATTTTTATTTTTTTTAGTTACATGGCCTCGCAATGCTGATTATAACGCTCCTGAAAAGTATGGCCTAGCTGGCACTAAAAATTTTTATGTGACATCAGATGATGGTGTAACTCTTGGTGTTTGGTAAGTCTAAAGGCTAGGATGAAAATTATTATTTTCAGCAAAAATGTAGAGGTTACATTTTTTCTTCCTGTAATATGCATTTTTTCACTGAAAAGCTTAAAGTAGCAATTTTTATTTTTACGTTTTTTTTCTTCTGATATACATAAGTCAACAATTTATAGATGCAAGCAGTAATGATTCTCAATGCATGTACTTACAGGCACACATTGCCAGCCTCCATGGATAATGAGAATGTCAGTAAGGGAAATTTTGAAGCAGCATTGAGTCATGGTGAACCAGTTGTTCTCTACATGCATGGAAACTCCGGTTCCAGAGCTAGCCCACACAGAGTGGAACTCTACAATGTTCTCAGGAACCTTAACTATCATGTTATCAGTTTTGACTACAGAAGTAAGTTGTTGTTGCATGTGATACTGGGTGATGTGGTCACATCCTGTTGTTGGTGTGAGTGTGTCATATCCTATATGTTGTGTCTTAAGGATATGACATAGTTTTTAATATTTTTTTATTTAGTTGAAGTGCATTTAGTACAAATGTGTACATTTTAATAATAAGAAAAGAGTCTGAATCTATTGGAAGGGAAAAAAACAATTTCTTTATTACTTTTAAAATGCTGATTTTTGGTCTTTTGAAATTAAGATACTAAAAGAATATTAGAAATTACGAAGTTTAATTGAAATACAGATTGAAATGTCAATTTTTTAGGTTGGTTGACAATTCCTTGTAGTAATTAAAGATGCCATCTGTTTGAGCAATAATGTAAAAATGTAAGTATTTCATTTAAAACTGTCTTGCTTTCGCTAAGAAGCAAGTAACCTATATAATAATGTTATGGCTCCCAATAATAAATAGGTTTTATACATTTGTTAAAATTAGCACCCTTGCCTTCGAGCATCACCTGGGTTACAAACTTTTTCACTAGTGAATAAAATCTTAAGCACAATGTTTTTATTTATACTAGTCAGGCAAGTAATATAAAGATAAAAAATATTTTTGATATTATGTCTGTGATGTGATTATTTGCCTTTGCCATTTACAAAAGTAAATGGTAATATGAATATATTTTCTTTAGAGGCTAAGTTTGTTTTGTGTACAAAGTGTGTATGTAGTTATATTTTTTCAAGTGCTTTGTCTTTAACTACCAATATTAATAAAAAACAAAACTTTACAGGTTATGCAGATTCAACTGATATTGAACCCACAGAAGAAGGTGTGGTGGCTGATGGAAAATTTATGTATAGATGGTTAGAAAGAAGAGTAAAATCATCTCCTTTGTTAGTGTGGGGTCACTCATTGGGCACAGGGTAATGTATCACTTTATCATTTTTCTCTTACATGGAATCAGAAGATTTATTTGTTATACAATTCTTTTTATCTAAGATGGTCCTGTTTTTATGCAAAACTTGTCTTCTTCAGGAAGTTGAGCTAACAATGACACTAAGAATTTCAGTGATAATAACATATCTTAATTAATACAATTGACTCCAGTTATAGGGAACTTCCGAGTACTAACATTATGGTTCACTATATATGATGATGTCAAAACTAAATAGAATTTCTCCATAACGATTGATTTTATTATTAAAGAGATACAGCAATGCATTTAGAGAGATGCAAGAGATTAACAGCACGAACTGAACACTTTATTATCTTTATTTGTCCTTAAAAAATCAATTATTTTAAATTGTTTGTTTTATTCATTTTTTCATTAGTAATTTCTCTGGATCTTCCTCCAGAGTTCGTGCTCTCTCCATACTTGATTCTGCAGTGTCTAAGTATCATAATTCAGTTTTCACACCTTTAAATGCCTTTTGCATTGTTGGAACACCATCCTACTCACCAATGACCATTTTACTTGCTTTGTAACATTTAAGATGCATTTGGCAGCAGAATGGCGCTAGCGAATAATGAAACTAATCGCTTTAGCGCATAGGATATAGCCTGGCAGTCACATGCTTCTTGACACCTACATAGAACTCAACACTCTTTGTCCCAAGGATTATCAAGTATTACCGAGCTTGCAATCAAAGCAAATAATTGCTCATTTCTGCCACAATTTGCAGCGTCTGCAGGACACAGCCTTTGTTTCCAGAGTGAAACTGAGTGACGTAAGGTTATCAGTCGGGACCTCATTACAGGTTCGCTACCTTCACCTCAGGAGGACTTCCTCAATTATGACCCTTGTCCAACAATATTTTTTTCAAGCTGTGGAGTGTTGGAATTTGTGGCACTGAGGCAATATTTTCTTTTTCCAGGAGGGATTTAATTTGTTGAAGATTGTATTTTACACATTCACTGTACTCGAGGTTCAGATTCACTATAACCGAACCAAGTATTCACTATATCGGAGTTCACTATAACTGGAGTCAACTGTATATGATTTATGAAATATGGATCCAAAATTAATTGTTTATATTACTTAATTCCATGTACATGTAATTGAATAGTCCTGTTTAGAAAGGTCGGTGAATAATAATCAGAATGATTTAAAAGGGTGATTAACCTAAGACTGGGGTGTATCTCATAAGCAAAACAACAATAACTTCAAAATTTCTAACAATTTTTAAAAGGAACTCGAGCATCCCCAATTAATTTTGAACTTTTTACCTACTTAGTGTTCTGAAGTTAAATAGATATCAATCCTTTCAAAAGGGTAAGAAGAGTGAATTTTCCGCGTATTTTCGGATTGATTAGAGACAAATTGTAATTCAAGGTGATGCATAGTTCTTTATCGAAACTTCATCAGAAGTTTCATTAAAATGTGTCTTCTTTTGTGAAACTGATTATGGTTTGCACACACGTGATTTTATTTGTTTTGAATAATTGTTTTTCTCTCCTTCCCTTTCTTCATTCTACCCATACATGCATTTCTAATAATTTTTTAAATCCAGTACCTACCAGTGATTGATGTTGGCCTTTTGTAATTTGCAGAGTTTCGTCACATGTACTGGCTGATTTGGCCAAAGAAGGAACACAAGTTTTAGGCCTTGTTTTGGAATCACCATTCAATAATTTAAGAGATGAAGTCAGAGAACACCCTTTTGCAGCAGTAAGTATAAAATATTTGATGCTGAATTGAGTGATATTGAAATTATTATTCTGTGCTACTCAACAACTCAAAGTATAGAGCATATCAAATTTCTTTGTGCTTGACATTTGAGTCGCATTAATATCTGCATGAATAAGCTTGCAACCACTGATTACTAATAGCAGCGGCATTTCTAGGGCATAATCTAATCATGTTACCACTGACAGCAATCAGCCAAGAAAAGGAATACTGTGTTACAGTTCTCATTTATCTCATGTGTATGAAGCTATCTATAGTCATTTGTTAATAGGTATGTTATGATGTATTGGGATTGATAGGTCATTGCTTGTTAATTTACAGCTTTGTTCATTGATGGTTATTATATAATTTTTTTACTATCAGCCTTACTTCATAAGTAAAAGTATTGAAATTGTGCACTGGAAAACGGTGAATTTTCGACAGAAAAACTCTTATTGCCAGGTCCTGGCAATGAAAAAATGGATAAATATTTTTCTTATGTATATTAAATTATTTCTGCTAATATATTGTGTACTCGGAATTAATATTTCGTGGATCCTTGATACTGGAAAAAATTGATTGGCGTCAAAATGTCTGTCCATCCGCTCATCCGTGCGCAGTCAAAGGTAGTGGCAAAACCGTTGAGCAGATTTTCTCCAAAATTGATGTTCCTTGATAAAGGAACTTGAGGCTGTCTGAGTTTGAAATTGATATTTTGATTTGGGGTGGTTATGTGAAGCCTCAACATTCTCTAAATTGTTTAGTTAACTTTGATGTCAGATTGCTTAAAAGGCACTTATGAGAATAGTGTTGGTCTCATTTATGTTGAAATTTTTTTAATTTTTCGGAAATTGCAAAATTAAATTTTTTTTTTTTGCATTTTCATGCAACTATAATATCAATTTTTCTTCTCAAAAACCGTTCCTAATTTTTTCTTTACATTTTCTCTCCATATGTATCAAGGGATTGTTAAAAAATATTGTGCTAGTCTCATTTGTGGCAAACTGGCCATATTTTTGAAAATTGAAAAAAGTTAACATTTCATAACTACAAAATTGAAATCTTTTGCCTTAGACAAAGTCTGTTGTAAAAAAAATTAGCTCTTTAAAGAAAGTTGTATACAATTTTTCGAAAGAAAGAGAGGATATTGTGTAATTTGTGTCAGAAATTTTTGCAATTTTTATAAATATTATTTCTTTTTATCAAAATTGTGTTAATAAAACAGATTTTAAAAAAGGTCATGTACAATCTTTTGAAAAAGAGTAGTTTTGGCATAATTTGTGCTTGAAATTGATGCAATTAAAAGAAAGAAAAGAAGAGGCCAACAAAAAAATAAACCATTTTCATCAAAAACACTTCCAATTTTTCCGGGAATTCTTAAAAGAATGGCGCAGGACTCCTTTTCATTCAACTCTCTGAATTTTCAAAAATTAAAATTTGAAATAATGAGAGAGAGAGAGTAAATGCTGTTGAGGCTCCCAGATTTATTTTTATTTGAAGCATTCATGTTATTAAGGTGTTGCGTCCTCAAAGTTCTCACAGACATTCAGGACTGGATGTAGATGAAGATATAATAATCCATGTTCACATGTTCCTTGGAAAACATGCTTTTGGACCTAACGCAAATGTGAATACCTGGTCATGTGACCTTATCTTGTCACTGTAGTGCAAAAGGCATTTGCTACAAATGTTCCATGAGCTATTTCTTATACGTCAAATATAATAGCTGTCTTATAGAAAATGAAGACAAGGTTGTTGTAAGAAGATAGGGAGACATTTCACGTAGTTGGGTGTGCTAAGACTTTAGAAGAGATGCGTAAGTGATGGTGGGGCTAGTGGTGTAATGGGATGGGGGTGGGGTGATGCCCCTAAGTTTATTAGTTAGGGATAGGGGTGCAGAAAGTGCTTCTCCCCATGAAGTTGATGCCTCTGTCTGCAAAGAAGATTGGTACACAGAATAATATTATTATATAATGTTTTTTGTGTGTAATAATTCAATGTCAAAATTGCTTTTCAGCTCTTTAGACATTTACCATGGTTTGAAATGTGCTTTCTGGAACCTATTCATGCCAACAAAATTCAGTTCACTTCAGATGAGCATATTACTCATTTCTTGGCTCCTATTCTGATTCTTCATGCAGAAGATGACCTCGTTGTTCCTTACTTGTTGGGTAAAAGAGTAAGTATTAATTTTTTAATGGATGTACTTATGTTTGAAATTTTTAAGAATTTTATTTATGGAGGAAATCAGATAATCACTTTCTGCAATTTACCATATGATACTCTTAAGATTGTATGATCTTGAAAGTGATAGAAATTTGATGTATTATCCATGCACGGTTTCTTGAGCCCTCATTTCACAAGATGTGAGAGGAGTGGGAGTTTGATTGGCTGGTTGACAGGAGTATTACATCAAATCTGTAGCTCATTTTCAATATAAAATGAACTGAAATTATTAGAAGCAATCATATGTGGATATCAGATTATGTCAACAACATTCCTTGTTATAATTTATTCTGAATTCAATTAATGTTGGTAAAGGAGTGGGGGTAGGTCTTGCAGGGCTTCAGAAAACATGTACGTGTAATCTCCGTAATACTCCAAGGAAAAATGACGGTTTTAGACCATTTATAAGAAAATCCTGTAAGTGTACCACAACTGGTTAGGGAATTACCCTATAGGGTTGCATCAAACTGGTTTAAGATCAAAACTTAGAAGTTTGCGGATTGTGATGCATGTGGGAAATTGGATGCACCAGCAACATATAACCCATCTTAGCA